TCCAACACCATTATCACTCTCTCAATGCTTATTGCATTTATATAATAATCTCTAATGTTTCATGTGATGTTTCTCTCATTTTTTTCTTTAAAGAAACACCTTTTAATTTTATTTATTAGTTATTATTCACATATTTGTCTAGTTTGAACTGAATTTTAAGAAGTTGCACAATGAATTCAATATGTATATATATTATATATATATAAGCTTAATTACAAAGACATTTTATTAAATTAGTTCATAAAATTTAATATTATTATAATTTAGTTTATAATAATTTTTTGTGATAATTTGGTTTCGAACAAAAAAACAAAGTTAAAATAATTATACTATATTTTAAATAGTTTAAAAAATAATTTAGCTAACTAATTAAACTAATAAATTAATAATAACATTAGGGGTATTTTTTAATTGTTATTAATTTATTTAGTTAATTAAAATTATTTTTGAGTTATTTTTTAAAATATTAAAATATTATTTAATTATTTTAATTTTTCCGTTATAAAGTTTAAAAAAAAAAAAACACTATTAGCATTTGAAAAAAAAATATAAAACGTTATTAATTTTATTATAAAGAAAAAAAATATCAAAAATTAAATTATAATAAGTTACAAGTTTTAAAAATTAATTTGACAAATTACTCACCATGATTGTTATCACTTAAATTCTTGATTCCACTAAGAAAACACCACATCACGAATTAGAATCAAAGTCCTATATTTTCATAACTCATTGGATTAATTAATCCCACACTTTGCCACCCAAAGTATGTTAGGTACATTTTGATTAGTGGTCGTATCATATATACATACATAGATATGTGAATATATTCTTTTACCTTTTGCGTAGATAAACCATTTTTCCTATATTAGAACAAGAAAAGTAAAGATATGTTTTTCTAATGTTTCAATTTATAAGTTTAAAATATATTATTTATAAATATAGAGATTTATGATTTAATATTATTAAAATATAAATTATTATATATATATATATTATTAATAGTAGTGACTGA